AATAGAAATAGGGGCGATATTTTATAGTTTGAGTTTGATTTGAAACATTATTGAGGTTTGCGCTGACATTGCGTGGAAGCAACCATATTGGAACCACAATTTCAAAACTCCCAAAATGGGCATATTTTGTTGACCGTCCTGATAATTCAACATAAAAGGTCAACTATTAAGTTTTCCCCGTTGCTACCGCATTAGTGGCAATCTATAAAAAAAAATTATAAACAAAACAAAAAATTGACTTTTTGCAAAAAAAAAAAAAAAAAAATCAAATATATAAAACGTAAAGGTTTTCAATTAATTTAGAGCAAGATAAAATTTATTCGTAAATTTCACTTGCATAAAACACACGTCCCCAGATTTCTGATGTTATTAGCTACGCACCGATAATATTTTTATGTCGCTAGTGTTAATGGTTCGTCTGCTACAGCAATCCAAATTTCATGCCAACTTGCTTGGAGTAGCAAGTTTAGAATTTTTTTGATAAACAAATCTATCAGCGATATATGGAGTTCGAACATTTCGTGAATACGGCCTGCTATCTTGTCTTCTATATAAAAAAGATATTAGCGGCCTAAGTAAGCTAAATAAGTTATTAAAAAAAATAAACAAACTCGACAGATATTGAAATTGAGGTTTTAACGTGTTTCCATTGCACTGCACTTCAAATACTGTTTTCTATTGAACAGCTAGCTTTTATTATTGTAAGGGCCATTTTATTACTCCAATGAACAGAGCTATGGCATATATTCGTCTCAAATTGTTCCAAATTAAATGAAACCAAACAATTGTAAGTTATTTTAGGGTAACATATGATATCTGCGCTTGCTTGGAATAGTTCGCAGTTATTCCTGCAGTTATTCCTTTCTTTCCTCTTGTTATTTCTTACAATATAAGCCCTTCATTTGTTTTAATATGCCCGTACACATATCTAACCATTTAGTTCCAACGCGTTCACATACACTAATATTATCATCATGATAATTATTAAACTCTATTAATCACATATTGGTTAACTAATTCTTATCAGTTTCATCGCTTGTTAAAAAGTTATACTTTAAATTTGTCCCTTACAAACATTAAAAAACAAATCAAGCGCTGAGAAAGCCCTGTTTGAAACTATTTCCTTTGCTTCGGAATGTTCACGTAACACGTGACTCTAACCGGAGACGACAGACGATAAAGAGGACAAGGGACAAACACACACGTCTCGATGTTTAGGCGCGTGTGTTTGTTTATTGTCCCCTTTGGTTGTCCGTCGTCTCCGGTTAGTATCATCTGCAAAGCTAACCAGGTCGTCTGCTTAACAACCGTTGTTCGCGTGCTGTTTCCATCAACGATAAACAAGTCAGCAGCGGGCTTCAGTTGGGAATAGTTTTAGAATATAAGTTACAAAAGGAGAAAGATACTCGTGGGCCGAAGTTTGAGACAACATACATTGAAATTAAGCGAACCGCTACAAGTCTGGGAGCCTCTTCATCAATATTCTAGTTTAAAACCTTGTTTCACATCCTGACGGCTGTTCGAGAGACATACACATCCTAGAGTTGTTTACACAGGACTGCCCTGATGCGAGGATCACGCTCGGAAGCACCTCAAACGGAAGCGGCTGTCAACGCCGACCGGTAGCTGAGCTTGTCCGGTTACACTGTTTGCTGAATTGTAAGCAGCGAGGGAGTTTGTTTGCACTAGTTCCTCTTTGCTGATTTGAACTGTTGTGTGTGGGCGTGTTGAACGGCGAGACGGTCGGTGTGGGTCTGAATAATAAAAAGAAAAATAGGAAACGACTGTGTTTTTAAATTTTGAATTTCGCTCTTCAGCCAATTTGAAGAAGTATACCAAGAATCGCAACCTGAAGCAACTGAAAAAATAAGGTATAAAAAGTACACACGCCTTTAGGATACTTGAAAGATTGTATCAATGGCTGTTTATGGTAAATAAACGAGAAAACCAGGTCTCGCTTGCCAGGACAGCGTGAAACGAAGCATCGCCAAGGCTCACTCATGAGAAGAATATCATTTCGAGAGCGCAGCCTCCAAGCTTTTGTCGCAGTGCTTTTTCTATGAGTATTTCAGGCAATAAAGCTGCCCGGTGTTTAAATTTCAGAGAATATCGCTGCTGGATGTTTGCTTCGAAGATGGAAGCGGCACTGAAAGGCATACTAAAGGAGAAGACGCATATCTTGTCAGCTTCTGCGGATTCCTCGGTATCTCGGTCTTAGTTTTTTGCTTTCCTCTTAAGGTGAAGTTTGCTTTTCGAATGATTATCGGAGATTCAAACAAGGTACTCTTATACGAGTCGAGATGGCTTCAAATACTGGCGCGGCGAAAATCGTATAGCTGAAGGAAGTAAACAACTCAGTGAGCGGAGACGAAGAAAAGACAGCCACGACAGGACAAAGCGGACAAAGTAAATACACAAGCACGACAGGGCAGCCCGGCTTTGTCCGGCAGTGGTTGTGTCTTTCCTTCGTCTGTTTTTTTACTGAGCTGCTCATCCCCATCGTGCAAAACGTTCAGCCATCTGGCCCGATTTGTTACCATAGTAAAACCTATAAAAGCCGTGTCCAAATTTCGGGACTCATGGAGGCGATTGTATGTGCCTTCTATAAAAGCTGTATCCCACGGTACAACGAAAATATAAACTGTAACGCCTTTCTATGCCTTTGCCTACTAAAACTGCGATATGGGAACGTTTCCGAAAGCCCCACGAAAGGATTCAAACAGGTAATGCTATAGGTTCCGTAAACAAATTGCGGCGCGTAACCTATCTTTTTTGCGAAATCGTGGGCTGTACTGAAACAACTCAGTGTTTCGATTAAAATCTATTATCATCACCCGAGAGACTAAAAAAAAAAAAAAACTCAGAATATGGCTAGTCCCAATCGTCATTTGATCACTCCCCACCCCACATAAAACCGCATAGTCACACTGCTCGTACATCACACACAAGAGACGCGGAGTTTCTCCGCGGACACGATGACAGAGAATTATCTGCGGATACACCTCACACATGTTTGTTCCCTAGATACGTACGCTTCAAACATATCTGCAAACACTCTGTGTATGACTTGCGTGGCGGGACCTGTCGTATACGAGGAAGAAACACGCATCAGACAATGTTCGCAGACACTTGTCCGAGGCGTAATCGGGGTCACAACACGCATGGTCTCAGATGTTCTGCCTGTACCGTATTTTTTTTTTAGAATCCAACTGGTCTTTGTCATTGAGTAGTGCTGCTTCCGGCTGATACAGATAGCGCCGCGGTGATAAAGATACCTGAGGCATGAATTTACGGGTTCTCGGGTATAGAAGTTCTTCGGAGCTAAAATTAGACCATTTGTCTGGGGAATTTGTGTCCTTAAAAATGCCCGAAGTGAAAGCAGAGGCAAACTTTACCTTCCTTGGCTAGAGTCTGGGTGTATAAATGGCCCGAATTCGCCAAACAAGCACCGAAGTTAGGCTCCGCTGGTGGTAGTGTGGCTGTCATCTAGCATATTCGTCCCCGAATTGCCACACAAGTGCCAGAGTTGTGCTTCCTCTTCTGGTTGTTCGTTTTTTTATGGGGCAACTTGGGCAAACATTGCAAAACAAGTGCCAGGTTTAGGCTTCGCTGCTGGTTCTCCGGCTCATACGTGACACATCTTTGGCTCGAGTCTGGCACTTTGGCGATTGTGTGGCGAGCCAAAAAAGAAGAAAAGTTCAAGAGACGCCACAGAAAAGTACTCTGGCACTAACTAACAACGCCTTGAAGCAAAAAATTGTATTAGGCCCAAGGTAGGCTCTGAAGATTGCCATGGGGACGCTTTCGTCCCCACGCTCTCGTCTCCTGAGAAAAGCAAGCAATGCCCACACCTCTCCTTCTAGCGTCCATCACAACATTGCCATTCGGGACAGCCCGAAATCCGATCGAAGCTCCTTTCTCCCTCCGGAGCGGGGGGAAACCGTGTATGTCCCCCTCCATATCGCTTCCTCCCCCTCTCCCCCATCAAAAGGCCGGAAGGGGCCTGTGGCGCCGCATAGGGGTAATCGATTCAACCAGCTTCGAGACGATGTCATCTGGGAAGGTTCCGGCGTAACCGCCTCTCTTTTTCTCCCACGTGCACCTATGGCATGAGTCGCTATATACAGGAAGGCTGCCGGCAAAGGGAAGCAAATTAATAGGCAGGACTCGGGAGAAAGCTCCATCCCTTTTGACTGGCGGGCGCAAGAGGAACGGGGACGGATCGGTATGTTGCGTCATGTTCGGGTATTACGAGAGCGCCAGTTACTGTATACACGTTTCTTTTTTCAGCTTTTCGCACACTCCTATAGAAGCACGTCAATGCATGGGTAAAAAAAGGAATAGCTGTTGAAGCACATTTTTATTCTTCATTCCAATATAGTCTTTAAATATCTCTAGGCTACAAACAAGGCAGGCTTGTTTTTCTGTTTGTATCAATAACATCTTTCACTTCGAAATGACATGTTCACATATCGCTTCACTCTATGCTTTGGCAGCTCGCTAAAGCAATCTTTACAAAAAGAAAGAAAGAAGAATAGAGCAATTTGAGGGAATACTACACCCCAGTGTTCTAGGAACACCAACTATTGATTTTTGTTTTATCGGATTTAATAGGAAGGGCGATCGGTATTGTGCTGCATTGTCCATGCAGTCTAATCTGCAGAAAGGCGGCTATATATATTTTTGTCACCAATTTTGGAGCTTGATTCCGATCACCTTTGCCACTGGTTAATCCAATAAAAGCAAAGTAACTTATGCATGTTCTGAGTTAATCGTAAAGTGTAGTTATCTTAAGAGACGCGGGGTATGGCTCATTATCTGCTCACCTCTCGCTTTCTGAGTTTTTCTCATCGGCTTTTTCCTCAGATTGATTGAATCTCGTGCGTTAATAAGATGTTCAGTAGTCACCACGCCCTGTGCTTTTTGAGCTCACAGGTACGTCCAAGAGTATAGTATAAAAGATCCAAATTGTTGTACAGAAAGAAGCGTGCATCACTCACTTATCCAGGGATTCGCCATGTCGACATGGGGACTCCAGTACATCCACATTTGGACGCAGATAAAAGGCGACGAGCAGACGACGTACAGGGCGATCACAACCACCGTAATCTTGACCGTCTTGATCTTGGCTCTGGACAATCCTCTCACCGAGTGACTCCGAGGTCCCACGAAGCTGGAATCCTGTTTGGTGCCGTTATGTGCGAGGCCTCTGAAGCGGTACGCCCGTTCTCCCTTCCAGGACTCGGCGTCCGAACTCTTCCTCTTGAGGTACAGGTTCCGCCATATTGATCGACAGATGCAGACGTACGTGAAGGTGAGGACCATCAGCGGCACGAAAAAGACGGACATGCCGTACCACGTAACATAAGCCCGGAGACCCCACGACTCCACATAAGTGCCCCAGCAGTCAAACACTTCCGGGGAAACCTCCTGGTAACTGAAAATGAAGACCTGCGGCACGCAGCACAGCAACGCAGCCACCCAGGCCGCGCATATTAGCAGTTTCGACTTGGTCGGTGTCCAAGAACAGTTGGAGAGGGGGAAACAGATGGCCTGGTAACGGTCCACGGCAGTCACCACGAGCACGTACGAGGACAGGTACGGTCCCAAAAGCTGTCCGAACTTGACGGCCTTGCAGGCGAGGTTTCCGCCCTGGAAACGGTACGTTGCGTCCCAGCCAAGTTGAGGCAGGACCGTGAGGAACGCTGTGATTAGGTCGGAAACGCACAGGTGGAGAAGGAAGTAGTACATTCGGGTCATCTTGGACCGTCGGGTGGCTAAGGCTAGCAAAACGGTTGAATTGCCCATGACGGTGAAAGCGAAGATGAGGGTGAGTACGGCTAGCTCGACCAAAGCCAAAGATTCATCCCGCGTCTCTGTCGACGCGGTGAGGTTGGTTGAGGCAAAGTTGAGAACTGTGGGGACGCTTGCAGCGAACTCGGGCTTCTGGTTGGACGGAACATCCATGGCTCTATCTTGTATAATCCGTGTTTCTGTTGAAGAAATAGTATGGATCGTATTAGTGTACTCTTGCAGCTTTCATATTCTGGAATATTATGGTCAGTCTTAGGTGGTGTACCTCATGTTGCAGATACCCTATACGAGCAGCTTCAAGTAGTGCAACAACCTAACATTGCCCAGGAGAAAAGAATGGTATGTCTCATGATGCAGTTCTTGGAACCACGTAGTTCATTTCCCTGTTTAAATAACGCGCTATGTAATAAAATGTGAAACGCATGTCACCGGAAACAGGTGACGAGGAAACATTTAAGCACAAACGGCCGGCCGGTCTTCAACTTCTAACAATAAGGCCAAACTCGCCATTTTCAGCAAAGCAAAAAATATATTTTTATACATTTGGTCGGCGTTGATCACCTGAACTCTCTCATAATTTTATTCGTACATTTGTTCCTCTTAACAGTTATAAAGTATCCGGCATGTCATCAAATATTTGTTTAATAGCTTCGCCAAAGCACGCGTATATCATAAAACAGTTAAAATATAAAAAAATGTTTGCAAACGCAAACCATTTCACTGCCTTGTTCCGCAGAAATATTTTTGTCATCTTTGTGTGCGTGTGCGAGCCGTTTCAGGTCATGATTTAAGACAACCCTGAGAGAGGGGAAACAAGGACAAACACGACGATGTCTCAAATTCTCTTTTTGAGATTTCGTCGTGTTTGTTCTTCCTGTTACCCCTGTCTCAGAGTTTTCTTAAATTATGAACGTTAACCAGCTCGCCTTCGCCTTACCACTCATTTCCGTTTCAGGAAAAGCTTTTTTTTTATGTATTTTTTTACTCTGACTTTACGACAGTTTTAGTGGAATGGTGCTGATCTGACAAGGTACAGCATTGATATGTATAGTTGATTGATTGATTGACATATTTTATTTTGAGACAGGTGTCAAGGCGGTGGGGACAAAAGGCGAATAAAATCACCTGACGAGGCGATTTTAAGCTAAGACTAGTGCCTAGCGCAAAACAAAACGAAAAACGAAAAATTTTAGTTATGTTCGTTTTCGTCAAAGTTACCTTTCAACATGGGTTAATAAGTCGTTTACACATAACAATAATTTACTTACTTTGAGTTGGAGCCTGGCAATCACCTAACCCCCCCCCCCCCCCCCCCCTCTCCTGTTCCCGTTCCACAACAAAATTATTTTGGATGATTCACGTATTACTAAAACAAACTACTACCGCACCCTTACCCCCCCCCCCCCCCCCCAAAAAAAAAAAAAAATCCTAATCCAGACAAACCCATTTCACCAACAATCACCACAAGAAACAAAACTTCTACCATAAAACAAATTAAAAGTCAACACAAACTTACCACTGCTTCAGATTATCCAGTCCCTCCTTCACATGACAAAATCTCGAGCGCCGAGAAAAACCTTTACTTTTCCGAGATAATTCAATCCTGGTGCCGGCTCTCACTGGCATTCAGTCCATTCTTGGCGTTGCCGGGTTGCCGGGCTGCCAAGAACTCTGTTCGAAATGAGCTCACATATCCGCGGTGAAGAGAAACCTGTAGCGGCACTGGAAGCGCCTGAACGGAGCGCGACTGCCGATAGAAGTGAGGCCGTTGAGCGCATCTCCTTCGCTCCTCCGTCCGTCGACCAACGCCCTCTCCATTTCTTTCTCCCCCGCCAGCTGACGTCACCAGTCTTCCAGAATATGTCACGTGACGTCGCCTTTCTACTCTTGAGGAGTCGGCGGTGAGCGCGGACGGGAGTGAGCGCGGCATAGACGACTGTTCTGCACTGACCTCATCTAGTAACGCAAAAAAGTGACGTGAAAAGTAATCAATTACTTTCTGGTTATTTTTCAGTTACTTTTGTGATGCTGTAATTGATTTCTGTAATCAGTAACATTTTTAATAAAGTAATTGTAGTTGTAACCGTTTCTATTTTTCAGGAACGCGTACAAGATTGTATATAACTCGCTCCGTGTAAGAAGTCATCGTCTTTTACTTTGGTGATGCAGTAATTGATTACTGTAATCAGTTACATGTTTTTTCCGGAACGCGTTCAAGACTATATAAGTTGCTCCGTGTAAGAACTGATCGTTTTTTACTTTTCTGATGCAGTAATTGATTACTGTAATCAGTTACATTTTTTTTTAGGAACGCGTACAAGACTGCATACACAACTTGCTCTGTGTAAGAACTGATCGTCCTTTACTTTTGTGATGCAGTAATTGATTACTGTAATCAGTTACATTCTTTTTTCACGAACGCGTACCAGACTGTGTATAACTCGCTCCACGAGTGTAAGAACTGATCGTCCGTATACACTGTACCGCCAAGTAACGTATTAGTCTTAAACTTTTCGTAACCGCCATACTGAAATTTTAAGTGGAACTTGTAGCATTACTAAATAAAGATATAAAGAAATGAGTAAAGCAATATACAGGCATTAATAGACTTTACTAGCAAAGGAAACACATCTATAAAACTGAAGAAAGTATTAATTTTTTTTGTTTTGTTTTGTTTAGCAGAGATTGGAAAAAAAGGTCGTTCGAAACCATTGAAATATTATTACTTGGTAGCTAGTGGGTTTCATTCTTCAGCTATGCGTGCTGAGAACAAGTATTTTAAAGCAGTTTGTATGATCACAAAAAGCCCAAAAAACTAAATTATTTTTTTATTATTATTGACGTTTATTGTTTTGTGAGTTTCTTAAGCTGTAGCTAAAACTATGGAAAAAATCTGCTCTTTCCTCACTCCTACACCACAAGAAACTAAAACTTCAATTGTAAAAAAAAAAAAAAAAAAAATACAGATTATATTATTGTGACCAAGAACGGAGTGTGCCAAAATGATTTCTTTTTCCTTAAAGTTTCGTGTCCTTTTAATTTTCTCTGCAATTCGTTTTCATTCTATTTTCATTTCCATTCGTTTCTTTGACGCCTTCAAGGTTGCTTCAGTGTCAGCAAAGGAGCAAGGCTATAACTAGCACCAAGCTTCAGAAAGTACTAGAATGGCCATCTGACTTGTTTAAAAATAATTTATTCAATTTTTCATTTCATTTATTGGTACCCTCAGGGCTCGAATGCATTACAGAGGGGGTGGGATTCTAACGGACAAGTTAATAGAACACTCATAGCACGAATCAAGTTCTAGTAGTACGGACAGAGCATTTTTAAAATCATCAGGATTAACAATTGTGGCGAAGGATGTGGAAAGGTGATTCCAGTCAGCAGACGTACAAGGTATGAATGATCTTTAGTAGTTATTAGTGTGGTGCTGTGGAATTTCGACTTTATGCATGTGATCATTGTGTAATGATCCCGCAATGATCAGTCAGTTCAGTCTTAAGAACTGGGTTGTGAAAAAAAAATATTTTCTGAAAGAAACATAAACGATAAAACTTTCGGTGTAAAGAAAGAGTAGGCAAGGGTAGGCATTTTTTCATAGAGGTTACGATTGATGTACGATGGTAATTAGAAGGAATGAAACGCACAGACCTATCGCGGACAGCTTCCAAGGCGCCGACAGGACTCTCGGTGTTAAGATCCCAAACAGCAGAAGCGTACTCTAGTTTTGGCCGGACTAGTGTTTTACGCAAGAAGATTTTCAAAGGCAAAGGAGTCTGCGAAAAATTACGTTTTAGATAACCAAGCATGCAGTGTTGGCATTGGAAGTGACGTGGTGAACACGCGATTCTCATGAGAGGTTAGATGTAATGCGAACGCCCATGTATTTGGAAGTGTCCACCTGCTCTAAAGTCACATTATTAAGATTATAGGAAGGAGGATTGTTTACTCACCTGGAAATTATCATATGTTCACATTTCTTAACATTTAATGACATGTGCCAAGTGTTACACCAACTTGATATGGAATTTAGATTAGATGTAATACAATCGGTGCTAATATGTCAAGTTGTTAGTATTCTACTTGAGTGATTGTCAATAAATAGTGAACTCTCTCAATTCTTTATTGTCAATCGAGTGTGCGTGTTCAGTTTAATAACTATTTGCAGATATCATCATTCACGTTTTCTCGACATCTCAACCTTTTATTTCAGCGTTCAGCGCATTTCGTCGGACCTTTTACAGGTCCACATTATTGTTGAATACGGGAAAATGTCTTACACTTGAAAACTCAGTTAGCTAACAAACGCTCTGGCAAAGGTAACACACATCTAGGTGTGCCTTTTTTATCGACGTCATTCATCCTGGATCACATCTCGATAGAATAAATTAGATGCCTTCACTGGAATAGATAGATATTTATTGAAGCACGGAGAGGTAAGCCGGAGTTCGTGCTTTCTCTGGCTGGCTACTCCGTGGGGAAGGGTAGAGGGAAATAAGGACGATTAGAAGAAGAGTAAGTCACGCGCACGTAAACACAACACACACACGCACACACTCGCACGCACACACTCAAAGTTGTTCGATCAGTCCGGTGTCTTCGACAGACTTCCGTAGAGCTTTTAAGACGATGCTTTGATGACGCTTGTTCTTCTATGGGCCTAGGATTTTTTTTACATTGAATGATCTGGGGTTTAGCTGGTGAAGTATTCTTTTCACGCATTCACGTTGAGTTTGGTACTTAGCGCATGCCACTGGAATGCATAGTTCCCCGCTGCAGTACCGATACATAAAGTTATTGTTTGCATTCATAAAAAACGACTGGAGTTACTGTGCATGAGAAATTTCCCAGAGTGCAATTTATGTTGAATGTATGAAACTCGCTGTCGCAATATATGTGTGGTGGGCGCGTTCTTATATTCTCATATCCTACTCAGTGCAATACAATGAAAACTTCAGTTGCGAGTTAGCGTTCGTCCTGTTTGCGTGTTACAACTTCATACAGCTCCGTTCGTCTCTTTCGCGCTGTTTCTACATTTTGATCTACGAATACTTGCTTTGATCATGTTCACTTGCGAGAGGCGCAACGAAGCAAATCAAGAGTGTACAGTACGTATCCTGTCGCAGTTATGCAACTTCTATTTAAAATATGCC